AGCTTAAACATAAAATGGTTTAGGAAATAGAAAACAACCACCGAACTTCTTTGTCCTGTGCCAACATCTGATCAATATCTCTTACTGGATAGATGTAGTTGAATTGGTTTTGAACTTCAAATTAATGTCCATGTACACCTTGCAACAATTTTACTTTTTAAAGTGCCTACTTGGATCTGATAGGTGTAGGTATGGAGTAGCAGTACTTAATCAAACTGCTTCTTTAAAACGTATTTGTTAGTTCACTAATTTCCTACTGAGTGCTTCAGAGCTTAAAACATATTACATTCCAGACTATATAATGCCAAATATTTCAAAACTTTTTGTTTGTTTTTTTTTTTAAACCCACTGAGAAGAATGCAGGCCTAGTGGTGGACTAATGCCAGCCCTTTTGAGGAACCGCTACAAAATCCACTTTCCTATCCCCTCCGAAATTAACTGAAGCAGATGTCTAATAAATGAAGTCCTTGAGACTTTATTATATTTTGAAAGGCCTGCTGTGTGAGGATTAAAACATTACAGCTTATAGGCACATTTTTTTTGAAAATGCTAACTAGAATTTACTTTTCATCAAAATGTTCAGAAACAGTAACTTCTTTTTCCTTATGTGATTTTTTTTTTCCCGCTTGAACAGGTGACTGTTCTGTTGTAATGGTGCTCTTTACTATTAAAGCTAAAAATAAGATTTTTGATGCATGAAATGTTTGGTGCTGACATTGCTTTTAAATGAGCTAAAACAATTAGGAGATTGTTCAAAGTTGTCATCTTCAACCTGTCTTTTATGTAAAAGCAATCTGTGAAAGACAAACTCCACAGAGTTTGTAGTAGGCGGTTTTCAACAATACTTTTTTTTTCCCTCAAAAAAAGAAGACAAACCACAATAAATTACTGCTTTCAGGGAGCTTTTTAGTATTTAATTATTGGCTGCTTTGATTCAAACACGTAGCTGAACCCGTCTTAGAATAACAGGAAAATCAGATTAAGCATTTTGATTTGACTGTTACAGAAAACGTTCACGGTTCTTGATTCCTGTTAGAAGCTATGGAAGCGTGTTAAACTGACTGTTGTTAAACTGACTTCTTTGTAGTATGTTTTTGTTTAACATTAGATAAAATAATAGATTTGAGCATAGTTTCCTCATGAAGTTATGTGGGTAGTCAGCAGTGCAAGCGTGGCAATGGAGAGGTAATAAAAAGCTGCAACATTTTGACAGCTTCCACCAAATTTGCATTATTTCCAGATGAAAGTGTAAGGAAATGAATTTATTTTGTTGTTTCATCCCAATTTATTACAGTACTTGAATTTCGTATGTCATCCAAATTGTGCGCTATCAACTAAGACAAAAATAATCACGTGCTTGGTAGGCACTAATGCTGTTCCAAGCTTTCGCTGTATATTAATGTGGTAGAAAAAGTATTAAGAAAATTCATGATTTTGTTGAATAAGCTTGTTGCTCTGAAGTGTCAGAATATCAGCTTTTGTTCACAGGAGCAAAGTTACTACTAAAGAGTGCTATGTCAACACTGCCATCTCTTACGCGCTGTCAGCCTGGATCCTGGGAAGGCGCTCCGCTTACCATGCGCTGCGTGTTCCTTCGCAGCAAGGCTGTTCTTTGCTGCCTTTGGCAATAATATGAACCCCCCCAAAAAGCCTTAACCAAGCCTGTCATCTTTAATGACACTGAAATTTAATGTGCTTTTCCACCCTTGCTTTTGTTTACCATTACTTTGAAGAGTTCTTTCCCAAAAGAGAACATTTTATTTAGGACTGCCTAGCTTTTTGCATTTACGTTTCGTTTCATTAATGTATAACGTGTGTTTGGCTGATGTCTTGGTAACAACGTAATGGTTTTGGTGAGTCTCGAAACTGAGGTATTTAATATGGGCTTCTTTGTCTTGTATGGGTGGTGTACCCAGCTTCTGCCTCCTCGCTGCTAAGTGAGAAGTAACACTAGGGAAGAAAAGAGTTGTGAATGGAAAATGTTTTACACAGATGGTATGCTTACGAGTGCCCATTTGCCAGGCTATGGGAAAAGTTTAGCTCAGGGACTTTATTTTCGGCTCTTCTAGGAATAACCTGTGTAACTTTTTTACTTACTGTATCAGAAAGAGCTTTTTTTTTTTTGATAGCTGAGAAGACATGCATGGATTTATTTATTTGTAAATCTCTCTTGTCTGTTAAGGCTAAAATAGATATTTAATGCATATGGCAGAGTGATAGTCTTGTAAATAAAATTCCATAATATTTTTGGACTATTAAATGCACTGCAGGATATAGGCAGTTTAGGTGGAAAAGCTGTAAGAAAGGAGTTAAGTGGAGCGTTTCTCATAGGAGTAGGAGCATGTAGTAGGATAGATTTTTTTCAAATTTTTTTTTTAAACATACTAATTTGATGTTGTAGATTGTTGTGATGGTCCAGAGGAGCAGCTAGAAATGCATTTGGACATTTGGAAGATAATAAGCAGGCTTCTAATAACTTTCCTCTGTGTGAGCCAACATGACTTTCTGCACTTCATAACAAAGCTGACTTTCTGTAAATTACCATAAAGATATGGAACAGCATTCTTTGAGCCTGTTGCTTGCTTGATGTGCTTGAAGTATTTACTCCAAACAATAGCCCTAAGGTTTGTACAGAAATAGTAAAATACATGAAAAACTGAAAAATGTTTTTCCTGAGTGTTTTTTTTTTTTCCTTGGAAATGGCTAAATACTATTTTTTGAAAATCAGTTTGGGGAAAAAGAACTTGCATAGAAAATTTCAGCCCAATCGGGTGTGTAACTGTAAACAACCATTGGTGCTGGCAATGTGAAATACTGTGGTACCACTATTGAATATCAAGTCAGATTGTGAGTTTTCAGTGGAACTATGAATATGTCTTTCAAACTTGAAGTGGAAACTAGTCAATAGAAAGGGAGATGTGGCAGAAGAGTTGTTCCTGTTTTACTCTCAGCTATGTTCTCAATCTTTGCTTGTGTTGGGTGGTTTTTGGTGCACTTTCCTAGGTGCTGTAGGCACAGAAAAGGCAAGGCATCCGGGCGGCCTTTCTACATCCTTGTTCAGGAGCCTACATCTTCCTGTGTCTTCTGTTAATTATGAAGATTGTAATCCAAAGAATCGGGAATGTGAAGAGACAGGTGGTGTTGCCAGTATAGTAGTATTTGGTATGACTGACTTGGTTGAAAAAGAGGAGAGTGATGGGAAGAAGGAAAGTGAATGTGTTTGTGTAGATGTGAGCCTGACTTTGGGACTGGTGAGATGGATATTTTGCTACTGGGCTGATGAACTTTAAAGGACTATTTCTGCAATTTTATTTTTTTAAGGTGGTGATGCTTTATCTTATTAAATGAAAAACAGTGACATGTAGTAGTTGCACTGTAGAGCTGAAAACATTTTTCAGATTTAACCTTGAAGAAATGTCCTGTAGCTCTGGCAGTCCCTCCATGTTAATTTGTTGACTCAACAGGCTTTATCATCACTTAGAGCATGCAAAAAGACCGTTTACAGTAGTTAAGAACAACTATAGGGAAAGCAAACAAGAATATTTTTCAAACTTACTTGAACTCAAAAATAAGCTGTTCATCTCTGTGTTGAGGTAGAAAAGCCCCAAAGCACAAAACTGTGACAATGTTTTTCTGTGTAAATTGTGTGTGTGCAACTGCTGTTGGTAGTTCAAATTAAAACAAACTTCTGCATAAAACGTAAAAAACTCAATACCCAAACCATCCCATTTTATTTATGTAAGGTCCTTTTTGTCCCTGAAGTCTGGGCAGTTTCCTAGAGGTAGTTGAGTGGGTTTTTTTTTTTGTGAGAGCAATTAACAGCAACAGAGAAAAATTAATAACATATTCTTGCTGCCTGAACAAATTAATTTCTTCCACATGTACCTGATGATCTGGTAAAGCAGATTTAACATGGATGTATAGACACTCAATGCAATACGTGAAACATAAGTAGACCTTCTCTCTGCCCTGTCTTTTCTGTTGTAAGATCAAAGCAGATTTCTTTGTAAATGCACTGTATTTCATTTAGATGCTATGGTTCTGGTTCTGTGTGTTAAGTACCTTTGTGAAGCCTTAATTTTCTCTCTTCTTTATTTATATAACATTGAAAATGTTTTCTTTTGCAGTGAATAATCACTGCTAAGTAATTCCCTCACAAATTTCTCCATACTCTTTCCAATTTATAGTTTTGAATCAGGCAAAGATTTTTGAAATCTCTGATGATAAACTGCTGGAATATAGCTTTCTGTTGGGCCTTGTAAAGTTCATGTGTTTTATGTGTTTTCTGTTGCTTTTACAAAAAACATGGATTAAAAAAATAAAGGATACTGTCGATTAAATTGCTAATTCATAGTACGCTTTTATCTGTAGTACATTTTTGATATGATACTTATTCACAATTGTCATCATCACTTAATCATGTGATGTATTAAATACACATCATCAAATTTCACGAGAAGTCTTATTGGCTAGTTCTGACATTTCAGTGAACTCTTAACAAGACCAGATGTATAATTAAACCAAAATTGCTATGGACTGTAATTTATTTAAAAGTTCACCGATTGATGTCTCTAGATTATTTGCTTTCTTGAGACTAAAAGTGGAAGCTTGAAGTTTTAAAAATGTGTTGTGTTTTGCTTTCCTTCTGGTTCCCAGGTCTCCTGCTCTTTCATGAATGTAATATATTTGTGTGTTGATACAAAACATCTCTAGACTGTATTAAAGATAACTTTGTTTTATGATACAGACAATGTTCTTGATTTCATCACCCTGTTTAGATGTGGAGTCTGCCATTAGATCTTCTGGACTCAACAGTCCAATGTGTGGAAGAACGATTTTTGCTGGTTGAAGATACTTTCACAAGATTAGTCCACAGTTTCCATTATATCCTGAAATATTCTGAACGTATTTGTCTGGGTGTTTTTTAATTCAAATAGTTGTTGTATATGATCAAATATTTCTTGTTTGCATTATGATAATGTGATTATTTAATTCAGGGTTTCATATGATGAGGCTTTTATTATGGCCAGTGACCCCTTGGAAGGCTTTCATGAAGTGAACCTCGCTTCGCCTACTACACCAGATCTTCTTGGAGTAAATGAGCCAGGAACTCAGGAACAAACTACCTCACCCAGTGTTATCTACCGGCCACATCCTTCTGTTGTGTCCTCCACACCAATCCAACCCAATGCATTAGATGTTTCTGACCTTCCCACACAACCTGTTTATTCGTCTCCCAGACAGCTGAACTGTGGAGAAGCATCAGGTGTCAGGTAAGTTCTGTATATCTTTTTATTTAAGTTGCTGATGTTTGTTGAATATAAACTACTTACTTTGCTAAACATGCAGTTTTAGTATTACTTACAATGTTGTAATATTAAATTGTGTCCATAATGGTACGTTCAACATCAGTGCTGCCATTTCTAAAATATTTCTTCTTGGTGTATTATATAAATAAAAAATATATCGTTCTCTTTACAGCATCAATGTTACCAACGCAGTACTCTGTTCTACCTCTGGACCCCAGGGTGGGTCATTCAATCACAATAATTCCAGAAAGGAGAGCAATAACGCAGAAAGAGAGTTTTTGCAGGGTGCTACAGTAGCAGATGTTGCTGAAGGAAATGAAGATATTTTTGGGTTGAGTACAGACAGTTTATCTCACTTACGGAGCCCATCTGTACTGGAAGTAAGAGAAAAGGGCTATGAAAGATTGAAAGAAGAACTTGCAAAAGCTCAGAGGGTAAGGCTCATTGTCTTGTCTCCTCCTGCTTTTTCGCTCTTCAGAGTGGTTCTAATATTGCAGAATGATAGATGAGCCAGAAGGTGCAGTCTGAGTCCACTAATTTCTTGTAGAATTATTAAGATGTAATTATTTTATGTAAAGTTATTCTGAATGTGTGCAGTGCTAATGTCGTAGAATTATTCCTTGATAGTGTTTTTTCTAGTGCTGCTGCTACTTAACCATGGAAAGCTTTTGCTGCAATATCTGGTTAAAGATGCTTTTTCTTTGAAATGTAGACTATTCCTTCATTCTGACATTTGACAATAAGAGTAATTTTTCTGTCATTCCATTGTTACTGTGTAAGTATTTATAATAGATACTGATTATGTCCCTATTGAGTTTTCTTCTAGAGTGTAAAAGTGTAGCATGTGTCATGGAATATAGAAATGCTTTAGAACCAAGAGTACTTGTGATGTTTCATAGGGGAATGCCTGCATTGGAAAGAAGCAATAAAGGTGTCACTGGTGTTCTTTAAAGTACTGTTACACCACACTTCAAATTGAATATGGATACCTTTGAAGACACTGTGGCTCAATTCATTAATATTTGTAAAGCGCTTTGTCTTGTTTGGATGGATGGTGCTATATAAATGCAAAGCCATTATTTATCATTTTAACATCCCTCTGTGCTTAAACTTTCCAGTAGATTTTGTGTTGTTTGTATCTGTGCCCTTTCCTCTCCTCTACATGATTGCCTTCTTGTTTAGGTTTAAGCTCTTATCTTGTGTTTGAACTTGCTTTCCTCTATTTACCTCATCTTGTTGAATGTAGTCATTGTTTTGGTCATAGTTGCATTTGCCTTTGTTAATGTAAGTCTTAAATATGTATTCTGACATTGCTTCTTCTGTTGTTTTATTGCTGAGTAGTTCCTCCCTTTGCTAATGTGTTCATTTGCTTAGCATTTGACCACTGAAAGGAAACATTAACCTGAGCTAAGTTTGAGGACCTTGCATGTGAGTGTATAATCCTAGCAGTTAAACTTGGAACCTTATAAAGTAAGAACAAATTAAAGTTTAAACTTTAGAAAAAGTCTTCCAGCTCCTGACAATATACCAAAGTACAGGTAACGTACTTGAAAACCACAACTCGGATCTGCTACTGTTACCTTGGAATTGTCTGAAAATCTTATTCCAGTGTATACCACTTTGTCTCTTAAAGATTGAAATGTTTCCTGTTTCACTGCGAAATTTGTTAAGGTCATTTTTAAGGACACAACAGTAAGGCTGCTAGGACGTACTAACTGCGTGTTATGTATTTCCAAACCCTTGGGGTCTTCTTAACAAAAGTGATTCAGCACTAACTTGAGACGGTTGATGTCAAAGTTCTTGCTGATTCACAACCCATCAGGTTGATTCTTACCAGTGTTATACTGGATGGATAACTTATTTTGTTTGCTTGTCCATTTTGTCTGCTTGTCCTCTTGAACTTGCACTGTTTCAGAATTAACTCCAGTAGCACAGGAGTCATAGCGGGAGTCTTTACAGACTATACAACAATAAACCCTATTCCTCCCGTAATACCTACTTTCTTCCATTTCCTGTATAAGGACTAGTTTTTCCTATCCCTAATTCATCTCCAATTGCTTTCTTCCAAAAGTCATGGCTGTTCACATAGGGCTATGCCCACTCTGCGATACTCAGAAGGTCATGCAGTCTTTAAACTTGTATTTCCAAGTATCTTCACTTTTGTTGATGAGTACTTGGTTTAAAAATCTATAGAGACATAATTAATAGGTAGTGCCTGTGTATAGCTGTTTTTTTTTTTTGCATAATGGTTTTAAATTCTCTGTAAGTCTCTGTGCTGCTTATTAGAAACAGAGAAAAATGAGAATTAGAATTTGCACTCAAATTTTGTGAGCTCATTGAGCCTGGAAACTTACAGACTACAGACTTTCCAGGAGTGAAGAAAGTAAACACAAATTTGCCATCTTGTGTTTTTCATTTGTTCCAAATGTCTTTCCTAAACTGCGTGCCATCGTAATATGCGTTAAGGATTGATTTGAATTTGTTGCAGTTGTGATCAGAAAGGGAACTAGGAAGGAAACAGGAAATTTGAAGCTTAGGGATCCACTATCTGAGTTTTTCCATGTCTCCGCTTAGTGTGCGACACTTTTCTTAATATGCTCTCAGTTTTTTTATATTGGAGAATAGATGTATGACGTGTAATTGTTAGACACTTAAGTATGGTTCTTGAAGAACTTATTTAGGAATAAAGATTTATTCTTTTTCTTTTTCTCCTTTGTATATGCCTTGTATTTCCAAAGACTACAGACTTCCCAAAACAAACAGCATTGCTGACAAAATTGTTAAGAAAAGACAGTCTTTCAAAAATTTGTTTGACAAGAGGAAATATGCTTTCTACTTCAGTCTAGATCGATTGCAGCACCAAATCATGTCATAAGACTGGGAGAAAGGTTGGGTCAGAGGTAACAACAAGGCAGTATTCGATGCTAATGAAGCATATAAGATTGGACATACTTTTGCCTTAAAGTGCTGCCTTAATTAAAGTGACACAGATTTTTCATTTTTTCTTTAGATCATTCAGGTCATTTTTTCTTATTTTTTCACTGAAGACTTAATTTTTGGCTATGTTCTGTAAAGTGAAGCTGAAGAGCCCTTGCTTTAGATGTTCTGAACCATTCTTCTTGTTTTGCTACCCTTTTAAAGCAGCATCAGGAAAAGCGAGAAGGTCTTAAGAGGCTTGGTGAGTCAATGCCTGGGACCTTATCTCATCATGTCTCTCTGCATTTGCATTTTTTCTGTCATATTTGGATTGAGCTGTGTCACCGTGGTTACTGGAGGTGGATAAACCTCACATAGATAACATCTGAGAGAACAGTGATGGTATTTTGATATATGATATTTCTTGATGTGCAAGTTTAGTGGAGTCCTTGCAAAGAAATATCTTTTGTTTGCTCTTCATCTTAAGTGACCAGCACACTGCATACGTTTTGGATAGCTTGCTTGTAGTTTCTGGGTTGTGGCAGTTCATGGTAATGTTTTCCTTGAATTTTTGTGGGATTTGGCCCTGAAGTTATTTCCTCATCAATCAGACCGTCGATATAATGATGTCATCTATGACTACAGAGGGAAACTTAGGTTTCTGTGTTGATATATTTTCTCTTGGAATGCTGAAATTGTCAGCTATTACTGATGCTTAGCTCCCCTCTCTGATGAGGAAAGAGCAGTCTACCAGAGATGTTGGTTGCAAATACTGTTTTCAGTTTGAGAATGAATTCTATGCTTCCCACGGTCTTTAGAATAAAATCTGTAGGCTTATTGGGAACAACTAAAACCATGTTTGACTTCTTGTAGAAATCTGAATTACTGGTATTTCTCTAGTAGAGTGAAATTGAGAGTTTTTCCACACTGCCGCAATGATTCTTATGAATGAAGTGACAGTATGTAGTTTAAGAACTTGATCCTCCAATCTAGATTTTTCTTTCAAAGGCCTCAATTTCTGTATGCATTCTTCATCTCAGAAATAAACTGAGTGTTACAGTTTGATCTCTTATCAACACGCAAGACATGAAGATACGGGATTTGAAGTAGATTTGTTTTTCCCGTTGTTCTGCCTGTATTGTCAAAGAATACAGAACAACGTAACAGAGGCTGTCGTTGTTACTACAGTGTTTCTGCACAGGCTAACACCGACAGCTAAATCTCTTTATTTTTCCACAGTAAAACATGATATTTTAAAACTTTGTATGAATTAACAAATAAGTAGATTCACAGTAACCATGTGGGAATTCCAGTAGTACTATACAGTACATTGAGCATTCTTAAATTTCTGTTGTCATTTGCTTATAAGTTAATGAACAATGAAAATGAAGATTCTTTGGAATAATATACCATTCCAGAACTCCGCTGAGGAGTATGCTTTCAAGCTTTTTCAAAACAAATTGCAGCTGAATTGTAAGGTCACTGGCTTGTGATCGGTAAACATGGATTGGTTCTCTGAAGGTGTTTTAGCAGTTCTTACTGTCTTTGAGTGATGAAAGTTTTCAGTATCTACACCTCTGACTGATGCTGTTTTAGTGTATCGTAGGCATAGAAGTTTTCTCAGGTGAGTAGAAGACGTACATACAGGCAAAACAGAAGCATCTTCACCCACTCCATAAGATGTCAATTCAATAGTTTGTGAAATGCTCTTATCTCTGAAAAGATACTGTGGACCTTCTCTTGCACTAAACACCCTTGTAAATGTGGTTGCAATGGACTAATTTTTATGTAGCTGGTTTAACTTGGGTGATGAGTGAAGACTAGTCACAGAAACATATTCTAATATAAATACAAACTTTTTTGATAACTTCAGAATTCAGCAGTATCCCATGGTTCTAATTTTAGGTGATATCTATAGAAAATCTTTGCTCTTTCCTTTATCTTCTGCATCTCATTCTAACTTGGTAAAATTGCTGAACTAGGTGCAGGATTATTTTCTTTCTAGAACTTAAAATATGAATGGTTTTGAAGCGATAATTTGCATTCCTTATCTCACTGGTTCTTTCTTCACCCACCTTGTAGCCTGTGAAGATCAAACCGAAATAAGCAATATCGTGACTCTTTGATACAGGATATTTTTTTTTTGCTTTAAAGTTTTTTTCCTTGTAAGTTAAATTTTTTGTTTACCTAATTGGGTAACTGTGTGTGTGCTTTATAATAGCTCATCTTGGTGTGGTTACTTTTTCAGAACAGTAATGTGGGAAGGACTGCAGCATGGGTCGTTAGTCTAGCACATGCAGTTGTCTTTTCTGCCTCTGTGTTATGTATGGCTGGGAAGTCTGCAGTAATACCTTTTAAGACACAGGCAGTAGTAATGTTTCTAATAACTGCTAAGCTTTTTGCTTTGGGCACTCTTTATTTCTGCCCTGCTGAAAAAAAAAAGAGCTATTAAGCATGCTTGGGAAAATAATGGGTTATATTATGCTCCTTGTGAATCACGTAATGAAAACTTGCCCAGTGTTTGACAAATCTGGCTAAGCAGCGATGCATAGTAAACTGCCTGGTGTTGTCTCCTTTTTATTTTCATTAAGTAGCTTTACTTGTCTGCCTAAACTTTAGACCTTCCTAATCTTTCCAGTTGCAGGCAAAACTGTAACCATCTTACTTAAAGTAGTATATTGATAGTAGTAGCCCAAAAGTAAACCTGGGGTAGTTCTACCATCATTGTGAGTTTGATAACTCTTGACCTGAATATTAATATAGCCTACTTTTAAAATGTATTGTATGTATGTACCATTTTCCTTACAAATGAGTGAAGTAAATGAAAGGAAATGTATTCATATATTCTCTGCATTTATAAGAACACATGAAACTTGAGATTTAAACATTTTGCATCAGAATCTTTCATTTCCTTGTTAAGAACCGTACTTTATATGGGAAATACTTTAACACAAAATTAATTAAATTAATTTTTTTTCCCCCTTTCTTTCTTTAACCTTTTGTTTCCCAGAATTTTTTCTCTGCCTTAGCTTTTTGTATTCCCTTTTCCTTCTCTTCTCTCCATCTGTAGCTGTTTTCCTGCTTTTTTTTTTTGAGAGAGAGTGATGTCACTGTGTGCAGAATAGTAGCTAGTAAATAAGAGTTGAGTACTAGTTGAGAAATACCATGTTTAGGAAAAACTCATCATTTAAGTGGTACCTTTCAAAATAGTTGAAAGGAATAGTTACATATGGAAAACAAAAAATCAAACCAGCAAACTAGACTAAAAAAAAAATCACTCAAAATGTCTAAAGGTAAAACCAAATAAAATAAGGAAGAAATAATGCCTTTGGTATTAAATGAGTCTAGAGCAGTCATTAAACACGTGTTGAATTTAGGAGCTGAAGTCAGAGGACTCTTCATCATAGAGGAAAATCTGTTGCCAGTTTCACTGCAGAAATTGAGAGCAAGACCCAATATTAGGATGCTACAAGGCAAGATGAAGTTGCCCACATCGTTGTGTACAACATTACTCAATCATGAAGACTTTGGGAGAAATACTAACTGCCTCCCAGAAACACAAGGGAAGCTGCCATTTGGGCCTTTTTATGACTGTAGTGACTAGTGTCCCAGAGTTTTGTCTGGGCAGCTGTTTTCTTTACTGGTTTCTGGACACTTTCAGAGCGAATCATTGCTAGATGGTATTTGAAGTCTTTAACATGTCAGTGACACGCTTGGGTCCTGCATTTCAGGAGTGGTGGTGGTGTAATGGCTAGCTTGGCAGGGGGAAAAGAGAAGGAAGAACTAGATGGGGATGGGAGAGGAGTTATGGACAGAAAAAAAATGCTTGAAAGGTCAGAGTGGAGTCTGCTGCTTTTCTTTCCCTTACTTTTTCCTTCCATCATTCTCTTTCTTGCAAGAGATTCGAGAGTTTAATGGTTGGGAAAGGGGAGAGGAACCCTTATTTCAAATTCCTTGTCAAACTTTCTGTACTCCTCTGCAAATTGCCCCACTTTTCCCACCATACAGATGAGATTGGGCATGTGTAAAGCTTTTACTGCCAAGTCTGTGTTAAAATCTTACTGTGAAAGTGATATGGTCAGACCTTCCTTGCTCAGATGTTAGTGGTGTAGACAAATAATGTTTTGAATTTCATTAAGTTGCTTTGATTATATATCTGCATAAACAAGAGCAAGGATATGATTTTGGGATTGTATTAGTTGTGAGGAGATATGCAGGAGACAATATTTATAATAAAATATGCTTTAAGATCTTTTGGAATTGAGGATTCTTAAGAGATAAAGCTTTTTTGGAAATTATTTTTTTTTAAAAAAAAAGGATTACTTTAAGTGTCTATTAAGAAATGGGTAAACAGAACTGATATTCTGTCTCTCCCAATAATTAAATTGATCTATATTTTAAGTGACTTTAGTCTTCTGTGCTTTCAGGAGAAAAAGCTTTTTTTACTTCAGAGAATTTTGGAAATGCTGATGTCTACGTTACAGATACTTGAGATTGGCCTGGTACATTGCTGTATAGCAGGAAGAATAGCTATATGTATATGCAGCATTAATTTAATTACTTCTAGTGTTAAGATTAATATTTTGAAAGGCTTTATTTAGAAAAGGTTTTATGTTCCTCTGACTTTTTTTTTTCCTTTTTCTCCCCCCTCTCTGTGGTATTAGCTTTAAAAGGCCAAATAACTGCTCTAAGTCAGAATAAATAACTTTCAATTTTCCATAGGAGCTGAAGTTAAAAGATGAAGAATGTGAAAGGCTTTCTAAAGTGCGAGATCAACTTGGACAGGAATTGGAAGAACTTACAGCTAGTCTGTTTGAGGTTTGTTGGAGTCTTCGATGTGATATACTTAAAGGAAGCTGAGCCAGATGTTTTATGTAGAATCAGTATATTGTATGCTGAATTTTTCTGCAATAAGCTTATAAAGGGATTTGTGTCCTGAAGACCCGGATGTGTTGAAGTAGAGGCTTAAGAGCAAGCAGTAGACTTTTCACTTAGATGAAAGAGAACCTTGTTGAGCTTTTCAATCTCCCTAGACACAAGATGAAGAAAAGAAGGAAAATATATCAGAAAGCTTAAAACTATTTAGGCTTATTTTTTGGCATAACTATTTTGAGACAGCTTCTCTGTCTGACAACAAGGCTATCTAGATAAGAGCTAAATTTGGGGTTGCCATGGTGACTAAATAAAAAAATAACATAGTTCCAGATCAGTGGAGATAGCAAGTACATAACTTGACCATGCTTTCAGCTTTTGAGTCTGGCAGCATACTACTCCTGCAAACTTGAAAAGAAACATTAATACCGAGTGATGCACCAGGGAGGAACCTGGTTATCAAGTTGGAATCGTGAACTTTATGTGGGACCTGTTCATTTGAGAAAAAGGCAGTAGTGCCTGCAAAGATTGTGTGCTTGTATTACACAGAAAAAATCTTAAATCCTTACTTGAAGCAGGATCAGTTCTCATTTTATCATGAATATATATAGGAATGCCTAGAGGTTAAATTGTGATACTCATAACTGTCAGAATAAATTTAATAATCTCGACATGATTTATATTTACCAAATATACATTAGGTACGTTTTAGAAACAGTATTTAAACCTATGGTGACCTATGATCTTGTATTGGTGTAGAAGTGCTATTAAAACCTTGAAAATACTGACGTTCAAAAGTCAAATTACAAACTGCTATGTGGGTCGACAATGCATTCTATGTCATCATCCCAGTAGGGCAAAGTTGCTTAAAATATTAAGCAGTTCCTGTGTGTAGAGAGTAAGTGGGAGACTGGATTTTGGTGTAAATACTTGTGTGTGTTGAGGGGAAGGAAAATGTGGGGCAAGTATTTTCACTTAAGGGAATAAAAATAAAACTATCAGTGAAATTTTATATTAATTATACTTTATAACTTAGAAAAATGTTATCAATTTGTTAAAGCTATGTTTGATATATAGTGTATTAGTAATAATCGAGTCTTCATTTTTCAGAACTCTCAACTGTTGTGGGCATGTCACTTGCATTTTCTTTTGTGATTTGATTTCACTAAGAGGCCCTAACAAAACACAGTGTTGAAGTTTCTTGATTTTTTGCACTGGGATCTACAGCCCTTGAATTCACATTCTATTTTGAATCCCACTAATTTCAGTGACCCTATAAGTGGATATGCTGGAGCTTATGTTAATGCATCCCAATGGAGGATGGAGACTTGCTTTGCACAGCTGGGTGTATATATTACATTATTACACTGTAGTAGCACTGTAACATGCTTTGCTTTCAAAGGTGCATCACTAAGCAGAAACTGCATGGTCAATGTTAAATGTATTTGTACACATTGTATAAATGTGTATGTTCCCATTCCTGCATGTGTCTGTTGTTACTTAAGAGGATTTTACAAACTCATATTATACAGCTGTGTTGTATGCCAGTGGGAGCCAGATCTTTTGGTATGATGATGTATGAACTTTTTTGTTTTATTTATATAGCGTCCAGATACGTGCTAGGCGCTTTACAGATATGAGAAGGTTCCTATTCCAAGTGATTTAGTGGGTGGCCCTGATCTTTCAGTCTTTGTTGCCTTCAGTAAGTACCAAGTAAGAACAGTAATTTGGTCACAGGCACAAATTGCTGGACCGGAGCCTGAACAAATACATTATGCAGACAAAAGGCTTAAAGGTATGAGGTAGAAGGATGTTTAAAAAATTCCCAGTCCTTTTACGCCACCTTCTTTATTGGCTTAGTCTTGTTTCTTTACTTGGACTGATTTTTAGTGCTTTTTCTGTTCTACTTAAGAAATGTTTATTAATCCATGAACTGTTTTAAGCTGTTGCTTTGTCCGTCTTATTGATGGTAAGAACTTAGACTTCATAGTTGTTTGACTGGTTCTTTCATGCAGAAGTTCACAGTTGACTATAACTGGTTGTTCTGGCTAGAAGAAGGGAGAAGTTCTTTTGAATGTGCTATTGTGCTCATGTTGCTTTTGTTGCTATTGGTTGAGTGTTTCTCTTGGGGGTCAAGGAACTTGACTTGTCAGCCACCAAAGCATGACTGGAGCCTGACGTCCGTGACAGGTATTGTTCCTGCTGGAGAGGGGTGGGTGCAGGAGCTGAATTTCTGAATCTGGGCTCAGAACCAAGAACAACCACCTTGGTGAGCCAGTGATGAATCCAAATGCTAGAATTGTAGGTATTTTTTTGGTATGTAACTGTTTAATTTCAGATTGTTGCGCAAGTTACTATTCACAAGTAGTCTCTGTGAAGCAAAAGTTAGTTTTTTTTACTAGGTTTTGTAAATTTGCGTGATGCATTTACACTAGCTAAACATTTTTTATAGGAAGCACACAAAATGGTTAAAGAAGCTAATGTCAAACAAGCTGCAGCAGAAAAACAGTTAAAAGAAGCACAGGGAAAGGTGAGTGTTTTTTCTGAATTGCTTGCTTTGTCTTTTCACATGGTTATAAATCTGAAGTGTGACTCATAGAGATGTAAATAGAGCACTACCTGTGTGCATTTTGAAAATATATATTAAGTTGTTTTGTGTTCCCTTGACGTATTCTTGGCTAACACCTGTGGGCACAGAGCTGTTTCAACATCATATCAGATGGCTAACAAGGTGCATAGGATGCCGGTGTTAACTACAGTGTGGAATTGCATAGGCATCTGTGTGTTAGTACTGTTGGAAGATGAAGTCTTGATTTGAACCAAGATAACTGGAAATTTTGTTAAACAATTTAACATATTCATAGCCTAATATGACATTTTTGTTTAATTACTTTATTTTTTTTTCGTCCCCCAAGATTGATGTCCTCCAGGCTGAAGTAGCAGCATTGAAAACCCTAGTACTGTCTACTTCACCGACATCTCCAACTAAGGAGTTTCAGTCTACTGGAAAAACTCCTTTTAAGAAAGGCCATGCAAGAAACAAGAGTACAAGCAGTGCTATGGGTGGCAGTCATCAGGACCTTACTATGATGCAGCCAATTGTAAAAGACTGCAAAGAGGTAATAATACAAGAATTGTTCTCTTCTTGCTGATAATGTGGCTTTATTGTTTTGTTTCACTCACAGTAAATCCAGTATATGTTAGTATATATCCAGTATATGTCATGTAGTACTATTTTTAGAGATATATTTCATTAATGAAAGAAAATTTTTCTTACATACCGATAGATAGTGGTTTTTCTAAGTCTTGTTTACCTTTAAATCATTAAGGGAAGATGAGATAAGATCGAAATATTGGAGTTAATAATGTAAAGATGGGAATTAAAAAAAAAAAAAGAAAAATACAGTAACAGAATGATAAGTCCTGGTGGCTTTTTATGAAGTCTATCACTGAAAGTTCATAAACTTTCATAAACATTTCATAAACTGTCATAGAAAAGAGGAAGAGTCATTTTATAAATCAATAATGGGTGAAACAGGCCGGGGGAAAGACACAATCAGTGATCTACTAGGGAACAGGAGGAGAGTTACCACTGATGTCCCAGAGGGCCCTGTGATTGATTTTTTTTTTTTTTTTTTTTAAATCTACTCATGTAGATTTAAATGGGGAAAGTAATGAGGCAACAAGTTGGTACTTGAGTCCTTGAAATGGTTGTGGCAAAAAGTGACTGAAGAGTTAAGAAGGATCTTATGATACTTGATACTGAGTAGTTTGTAGGACAGCAGATTAAATTCAAAATCAATATCAATAAATGAGAAATGTGGCATCTAGGAAAAACTGCAACTCTAGCAGACATGGGGTTGTGGACTTAGAAATAGCTATATTGTGCTGGAAAAAAAAAAGTGCTTGTGGATAACTCTCTGAAAACACCATCTCAGTGCTCAGTGATGATTGAAGACCCACAGATCCTTAAGTTGTTAGGAAAGGAGTAAATAGCAAAAGAAAAAGCATTATACTGCTGTATAAACATGTAGTAAAAGTGTGTGTCTATGTATGCAGCTATGATATCTTCATCTCAGAAAGGACATAATAAAATATGAGGAAGTGTGACATAGATGGTCAAACCTATGGAAGTATTTCTGTGTAGAGAGACACTTGAGGTAGAACAAAAATCTATATAATCACAGGTGACGTGGAGAAGATGAATGATGAAAAACTATTAATGATTTCTTGTAATAAAACTCTGGGAGCTCAAAGGAAAATTATTTTCAGTCAGTATATCATGAAACTTTACAACTCATTATCACAAGGTGGCAAGATTAAAAATATAAAAGTGTTCAAAATGTAGTCAAGCAAAGTGACAAGAGAAAAGCCTGTCAAGGTGTATAGAAGATAGATATGACGTTTGGCTTAGGAAGCTTTTTTAACTACAGATTGCTAGAAGTTGGGAGGCTGTAAAGCGAAGGCATATCGCTGTCTTTCCTCTCATGCTGTTCTGCAGCCAGCTCTGTGGCTGCTGGCTGTTGCCAGAGAGGTGACAGCCTAACTGAATCTTTAATGTGATTCACAGTGGCCGTTTTTGTTTTGTATTGCTAGTCATCATTAAGTGTTTATACTATACATCTTTTTACTATAAATGTAGAAAATAAAGGCATTTTCCAGATCCTGTTTCATACTTGATCTTAATTTTTTTTTAAAAAAAGCTTTACATCCTGCCTGCCCACTTTTAGTGGCATCCAGGATGTTTTCCTTACTAAAATTGAATCCTTGTTGTTCTTCAGAAAGATGTGAACAAAAGGGGAGAGCTGGGATGGAGTGCAGTTACTCTGTAAGCCTCATACTGAGGTCGTGACTCAATTTTAAGTGTTGGGCAAGAGCGGGAGAGGGGAGAAATTCGTTTTGCCTCAATTTCTTGTGGAGAGTAGGTGGTGAATGTGAAGGACATGCTGCAGAAAGTCCAGTCTGTCTGATGTTTTTCTTTGGTTCAATCTCCTTTCTGTTGGCTGCATAAGAAGACACTTCGAGGCTGCTCAAAACAGGTGACTGTTTCTTCCAGTGACAGCCCAGGGAATCAATAAGAAACATACAGATTTTCCACCCACTGGGACTTGAGTCTTTCTGTCTCTCTTCTGAGCAGGAATATTTAATGGAGTGCAACATGGGGTGAAGAAAGCAAGACTGCCTTTGGCAAGGTGGTTAGGACGTTGTTTTAAGCAGAGGAGACATGCCTTCCCTCCTGCTTTTGTTGTCCAATGCGTTATGGTTTTGTTTACTGCTTTTGCTTATTGTTAGTCTAAGGTAAATGTTTTTGCATTTCTGGGACCTGGATCTGAAACCCTAGTTCTGCCTCCTTCTTGCTAAATGTTCTTGCCACTGGGTTAGGTTAGATGTTGTTCTTCTGATTTTAAGTGACTTGACTTCAAAAGTGGGGCTGAAAGTACCCTTGTTCAGGGGTATATAGTGGTCTTGTGGTGTGGGGAATACAGCTTTGGACCCTTGTGGAGGATCTACCACCCAGAGATGTGCGTTCTGAGATGATGGAGGGAGCTGGGTGTAAATACATGTCAACTCTTAGGTTTCTTTGTGGAATGTAGACATAGTTAGAATGGCTGTCTACCCTATATTGCAGTGGAGCCAGAAAGGTGCCAGCATCCCAGAGAAATACTTGCTAGCATGTGGGAGTAACCTCTAGGATAAGTAGAGATTTCTAATTAAGTATTAACTTATTATTTGGGTGAGCTGAATAGCTGCCTGGATCTTAGGCACACAGGTAGGATTCACTCAGCGTAAGTGCTAAATGCATCAGTGTTGCTCAAAGAGCTGAAATGTTTCTCTGATGTTGTATTTTACTGTAAAATGAAAGCATTAAAAATTTAATTAGAATTATTATTACAGTTGGCTGTATATTTAATTGCAGGTAGTCAAAACTTGGATCTAGTGAAAGCGCAAGTAAAGGCAGGGAGGAAATACGCATGTAGTAGATTGGAAAGGAAGAGCATCAAGCTATATTCACTGAGCACTTTTTCCAGGGCAGCTTCTTAATAAATTGCAGATTTGGGTGAAATTAAGTTAAATCTAGAAAATAACTGAGTTAATAAGAAATGCATCTTAGCTTTTAGAATCATATAGTACAAATAAAAAAATGGCTTTTTTTCTGCTGATATCTCTTGTATTAATTTTAAAGCCAGACCTGAGATGGGTTTTAAGGTATGGGAAATGTTCCTTTAGGGAGCCGGTTACACCTATTGAATTTCATTTGTACAATGAGGTTGGTGGCTTAGCAACCAGAACATTTATGGACGAGCTTAATTAAGATGGTTGTTCCTGATTGCACCTGAGTGTAAGGAAAGTAGCTCTAATGGAAAACAAATTTGCCAGTCTAATCTTTGTAGGTTCTTTTGCAAGGAAAAAAACCCAAAAAACTAAAATGACAAAAGAACTCTCCAAAATATATATATATGAATGGCAAAGTGCCGGGAGCTCAGAGGAGTAGTAATGCATGGGGAGATAAGAGAAGACTGAGAGAGACTGGTTCAAAGCAGTGTACTGACCTTTTTAATAGGATTGGAAATAAATTATTTTGATTTTTATCATATGTTATTTTCCCTCTTTCATTATCTTATCTATACTATTTGTTTTTAATATCAAAAAAATTTAAAATTACATCCTGGCTTATCTTTGACCAACGTACATCCCTTCCTGTAGCTTTAAGTTTGGGTTTTAGGATGATAGGTCAACTATAGTACAAGAAAGGAATTTAACAACCAATTGGAGGGGAAAGGTGCTGAAGTCTGTGTGAGCAGAATGTCAGAACCAGTCTGAGGATGATGTTGCATATCCCACTGGGGACTGGTGTTAGTCTTTTATGTTGGATTAGGAGCGTACGTTAGAAGCACTTGTCCCCAGTCTGCTTGTTTCACGTCTCAGAGCATTGTTGGTGCCTGTGAACAGGATCCTGCTCAAGTAACCCTGGACCAGATGATGTGCTCTGGGAGTACCTCAGTGTGCTCCAGCTGGTAGTGGGTGGCCAGCTCATGGGACAAACTGTCCCATAACGCAAACATGAATTTTAATATGGGCCTAGTGCCAGTCTCCTGAACACCAGACTGAATAGGTACCTTCCCAGTGCTAAATGAATCTCAATGTAGAGATGAGAAAACAAGGTGTTTTCAAAGCAGATAAAACCATCTCTTCCTAACACAGAGCATGCGTACTCCTGGCATGATTTAGTGGGTTGTTTTAGCATTTCTTCATTGACTAGAGGAGCTGTGGGGGAGCAGACTCATAAATCATGCCCAGTGAATATTCTTTCCTTCCTAATTGTAGCATAGTGTAGGAGAGAGTTTGGGCATAAAGATGAAAAATGAAGAATAAGAGTATAGTTTTAATTGATTTGTATATTGAATTCCTCATTTCCTGTGTTAGTATATTTAGTGTGTTAAATGTCTGTTCTCTTTTAGCGTTTGGATAGCAGTGTGTTACATTCAGATGCAGGGTGAACGTATAAGATATCTAGGATTGCAGTTATTTTCTTCAGATTTCTCTCCTTTTCTGTAACTGCGGAAATAGAGATGGAGTAAAAATACTGTAATGAAGATGCATCAAGAAGAAAATTATTTTTTGGGCTTTTTTCTGTTTAAGAATCAGTTCAGTTTTTCCAAGCTATCCAGGAAGTTTAGGAAATGGGGAGAGGTAATTAGCTTGTCTGTGGTGTTGTGGTGACCAGTGAATGCATTACCTCTGTCTTGAAAATTATATGTTTTGGTTTGTATATATTTGCAGCCTTAGGAAAGTGGATTTAAGAAGGTGTTCATAGCTGGGGCACGGTGACATTGTTTCACAGGGCAATGGAAAGCATTTAGTTTTAATGCTCATTATTTACCTGTAGATATTTGCAAATGAGAGACACTAGTATGATAATTGCAGTACTAAAATATGTGAATCTTTGTGTGTGTTCTAGGCTGACCTGTCTTTGTACAATGAATTCAGATCTTGGAAAGATGAGCCTACTATGGACAGAACATGTCCTTTCTTGGACAAAATTTATCGGGAAGATATTTTTCCGTGTTTAACCTTCTCAAAAAGTGAGGTAAACAGTCTAAATGTTGTCACTGATGCTTTTCCCTTAAGTACGTTGCATGAAGCCAATAGACTGTATAAAAATGTTTTCATACAAAGTTTAACTATTTTTTTTTCATTACAGTGTGACAGTTTACAGTGAATTGCTGAAATTTAGTCTGGAGTGTTGAAATGATCATTTTTTATTCACTGTTTCACTTCTGCTATTCCAGATACAGCCTCTTTAGGTCTCCTCCTTCAGATGTTACTCTTATCAGGCATAATCTGATGTTTGTCGGAATAGATAGTGTTTTTTTTTCCTGATGTTTCAAAGATCCTGTTTTGTAGAAATAGTGTCCTGTCACTGTCCCTTGTTTATATAGGGGGCAGTAGAGGCCAATATATTTAATTTTGTGGACCAGTATTCTCTCATATCAATCATAGCAGGCTGCAGACACAGTCTGGGTGTTTTCTTGGAGAGATTTGAGTTACAAGATTAGACTTTAGGATTTGATATGATTTGACAGGGGCAGTTTGGGAATGTAGTTTTAGATGAAACGAATTGTGAGACTTCTTTTTCCTTTTGTTATTCCCACACACTCATACAGAGGAAAGACTGAAGTTTTACTCATCCTGGGAATAACACGGAACTGATTCCAGCACCAGCTGCTTTAGTTTTTGTTCCTAAGCAGCGTTTACGGGCTGTAGTTGTGATATTGGTCTCTAGGGGAAAGGGACCATAGCCTTAAATCTTTATTAAAATAAGAATAACAAATTTTAAAGCCCTTGGACTTGATTTTTTTTCCCCAATAAAACTAAACACCTCACATGGAAAATGCTGTATTTTCTTCATAATGTTTATCTGTTGTTTTCATGTGCTGTTAGTTCTTTTTCCGTACTTTTCATCTGCTGTTCCTTGCTGGCCATAAGCATGCACAATCTTTTAGTTAATTGTATACCAGTTCATTATGGTTGGTGTACAGCATACGAACCTTTCCCACTAAAAAGTTTACGTGGTTACTATGGGAATTAAATTGCTTCTGCAGTATGTGTAAGTAGGCCATCCTGTTGTCTTTCCCAGCAACTTCATTTTGTTTTTTTTCTACTTCAGTGGTGATATAATTACTGTAGATTTGTATTTCCTCTTAAGGAAATAATGAGGCTTCTAGCACTTGTCAGTTATATCAGTTATTGTTTCCAGATGCTGTGCGTAGTGACCAACTTCTGTTTTCACTTGAATATCGATCAACTAATGTGCAGTTAAACCAAACAAACTACACGTGTTGTGTTTTTGAATAATTGGAAATGCAGTTACCTGAATGGTTGAAGTATACCTTAACTTTCACTAGCCTTTTGTGTATGTGTGTAGAGTTTTGCCTTTGCGAGATGGCAGAGAAAGAGTATTTCATATGAATTACTTTTAATAGTAACATTCTGTTTTTAAAATACGCAAAGTACAATAGAAAAATGTCTTTATTACTCAGTGGGAAGGAACCTTGGCACAGAATTATTTTACTAATAACATGAACTGCACCTTCTTTCAAATCAAGTAATGGCTATTACTTGTCCATAATTAAACAGTAGCCTTGGACAAGTGTTGAGTCCAATCAAGCAAAACGAGCATATTTCTAGTGTCTTACAATTGTGTGTTTATAAAGAAGTAACATAAAAAGCCTGGGCAAAGTTGCAGTTTGTTTCATGAAGATGAAACACTGGGCTAGCGTTTGAAAGCTGCGACTGACTTTTCTATGTATTACGTTGGCTTTTCTATATATTGTTCAGTCTTATTTGTTTGAACACCTTTCTAAAGCTATCTTTGGCTGAAAAACAGTGACGTGTTTACTTGTTTTTGCAAGATAAGGAAGCATGCTGCGTCATTTTGTGTTTCCATAGAACATGGAGCAAATTTATTTCAATAAACAAAGTTTATGCTGTATCCAGCCTCTGACGAGAACGCTGCATGTACAAATGTATGTGCTATTGGGCTTATGAGGAATGACTGAAAATGCAGTTAGCTTTTAAACATGCTTGACTACATTCCTGGCTGTAAAGGCAGTTATCTTGCCTCAGGGAGAACAGGGTTATTTGAAGGGCAGAATTTAAACAGTAGCCTGGAAATGGGACCTCTTGCTCACGATGAAAGCAAAATCTCATTTGTAATTTAATTTCTGTTTGAGTTGATTTTTTTTTATTTTTTTTCTGTGTTCCTAACTTTAGAGAGAAAGAAATATGTCACTGCTTTGAGGCAATGGATAGCACAGAGCTGCTTTTAACTGCTTTCTAAATTTCTCTTGCAGTTGGCCTCAGCTGTTCTGGAAGCTGTTGAAAACAACACTCTGAGCATTGAACCTGTTGGCTTGCAACCTGTTCGATTTGTGAAAGCTTCTGCAGTTGAATGTGGGGGACCAAAGTATGTTAAGCTAACAGACAGAGGGGGAGTCTTGACTCATTTAAGATAACTCTTGGATCAAGAAAACTGCTATCAACTGATCACCTCAGTCAGATTTGTGTATCTTAAACTTTATTTCCTAAAATCTAAGACTTCGGTTAACTGTTAGAAAATTTTGTGGGGAAGGTAAACTACTAATAAATTAAAGTTTAAAAAATACTAATATAGAACAAACCTTTAAGACAAATTACCATTTTGGGAGAGCTATGTTTACTTCACTTACGATTCATTGACAACAAAAGTAACATTCACTTCTTTGGAGAAGACCATCCTGGTACTTAAAACAGTTGTTTTGAACTAGGGACTATCACCTGGAAAGTGTCATGAAAGTAATAGGTATAGAAGTAGTACAGGCTGAATATCGGAGTATTTGTGGCATAAGAAATTTAGGACATACATAGCACACTGGCAAAGGTAGCTGAAGTATTTGAGAGGAGATACATAGGGTACATC